CGTGTCCGGCGCGCTGTGGCTCCGCTGCAGCAGCGGCCGCGCGGCGGCTCTGGCCCTGCCCCGTGCTCTGCGGGCCGCTGCCGCTCCCTCTGGCTGCTGCGGGATGCTGTGAGGCACCTGCTCCTGGGAGGCCTTCGTGGGGACGATTGAAGACTGCTACACCCGATTCCAGGAGCCGACGCGAGCCGACGTGAGCTGACCAGGCCCAAGGCTTGCCCAGATGGGGTCCGATCGAGCGCGACCGCATGGCGTCAGACCGCATTAGGACGGTTGTCGGCCACAGAAAGACCAGTGCTGGGCCTCCTGTCCCAAGGTGCCCCATGGATGTCCTGGGGGGTCCCCGCGGCCTCCGGAAGACCCATAACGAGGCCCAGATAGCACCAGAGGCTCCCAAATGGGGCGAACCGCTGAGACACCTTGGCCGGGAACACCTCTGGCAACGCCAGGCACGCTGCTGCTGGATGCAGTTCGGCCCCACCGCTCTGGCTGCTGCAACTGCTGCTGAGACCGAGAAGCAGAAAGAGCGAACACCTACTCGAATGGAGCAAGCGTCAGCCTAGCGTGAGCCCGCCGCACGGCTCATACACGACTCGTGTCTCAGGTCGCCGCAGGCACGCAGATCTGTGACATCGAGTCAATGCCAGCCGCGGCGACTTGGACAGCGAGTGCCAAGCCAGCCCGCCACCGAGGGGCCAACCTGGCTAGGATGCGTCAGTCTTGAATCGGGAAGCCGGAGCAAGAGAGGACATGCGTCGGATCGGGCGGCATTGGCACGGAGTCGGACATCGAATGAGCCGAGCCCTCTCTGGGCGTCTGGCTGCCCGCCTCTGGGGAGCCCTCTTAGGAGCACCAAAGGCCCTTCCGGCAGGGTCCCCTCCTCCCGAGAAGCCCCCCGCGTTTCTAGGCGGCAGCCTCCCTCGCGCGCAACGCCCTCGGTGCGCGCCGCCGACCTCACAATGTTCGGCGCTGGGCGCCGGGATCCTCCCCGTTCACCCTCGCACGCTCCCGCTGGGTGCCGCTGCTGGCCGTGCGCCCAGGTGTGTGTATCCTCCCGCCCCCGCCGCCCATGTGCTGGCCGCTGGGCTGCCCGATCGGCACGGATATTTCTGCGCCCTCACGAGCCTCGCAGTCCTTTTCTGGGACGGGCCGGCCCTGCAGTCCCGCTGGAGATGGTAGAGAGAAGCTGAAAGAGTGCAAGCGGGCAGCCCTGCGAAAGCGGAAGTGGCCAGGGCCAGGAAGTGGCCAGGGCCAGTGGCCAGTGCTGGGAACAGTGGTACGAGAATGAAGCGAGCTCGAGACAGTTGGGATGAGGTCGCCCGGGCTGGAAAAACTAGATGGGAGGAACTGGGCAGGGCTGGAAAGAGTGGACTGGCCTCGGCCACTCTCCATGTCTGCATGATTACACGGCCCCTGAAGCGCGGATTCTTCGCATCAAAGTCGCCCCCCCCCGACTGTGTTGGGCAGAACCTCGAAAGAAATCAAGCCACGGCGGCTGCAAACTTCGATCCGCAAAAATGAAGTGTACTGATCCTCTGGTCATGTGTGAGCACCAAAGCGTGCTTGTCCACCGAAACACCCGGGAGCGCCCTTGGCAAGGCGCAGCTGCTGACAGAACGCACCCCGCGGCCAGCAGGACCCAACAAAACTCTGCGGAGCTTACCCCCCCCTACACTCCGGCCCTTGCGCGAGGGCCCTCCGCCCGGGCGCCCGGGCGGCCCCTGCAACGCGAACTCCTCCGCCAGCCGCGGGTCCGTGAACTTCTTGCAGCGCGCGCCGCTCTGCCCCGTGGCGTGGAGGCTGGCCTCTGGCCGGTCGCCGCTCCGGGCGCTCCAGGACGACGGCGGCCACGGCGTCGCCGCCGCCGCCGCCGTCGTCCTCGTCGTCAGCGCAACCGCCGTCGCCCCTCTCGTGGACATCGTCGTTGCTGCTGTCGTCGTCGTCGTCGTCGTCGTCGTCGTCGTCCAGTCGTCGCTCAAACGTCTCCAGCGAAGACTGAAAAGAAGCCGCCCTCCATCCGCACAGGGGCCACATCTTAAGCAACAAACATCCTCCCATACGTGAAAGCGCTGGGAGCTGTGAAGACGGGTGCGCGTTGCGCCAAAGCGAACGCCACACTTTGGAAAAGCGAGCTTTACCCAGTCGCGTGAAGATCGGGATTTTTCCAGACGACAGCGGGCGGGTCTTAATCGAGAACCGCAATATGACAATGCCGCGCACTCCGATCGAACAATTGCTAATCATGTGTGGCAGCACTGAGGTCGGAAGCACACGTGGCAAACAGACTGCATGCAATCCATTCGTGCACTTGTCGGAATCACTAACACGCGCAAGTGTGGCGCTACCAACAGAATTTGAGGCAGAGATACCGATACATGAGATCCAGGGCTGCCCCCCCCCAATGCGTATTGAATCGAGCCCCCCCCCCGCTGAATGGCCTCGCAAATGGGGTCGCTCCTCCCCCCTCTGTGGTCTTGGCCCTGTGGGCGTGGCGAGGCAGAGGATGCCGATGCCTGCCCCCCCTCCCCCCGTGGGTGTGGGGTGGTTTGTCGTTGTCGTGGTCTTCCATGGGTGTCGGAGTCTTCCGTCGGCGTCGGCGGTTGCGTCGGTCGGCGTCGGCGTCGGCGTTGGCGTCGTCGGCGTCGGCGTCGTCGTCGTCCCCCCATCCCATCTGGGGGGTGGGGGGCTGTGAACCCTCGCGCGGCGTGGCGGGGGGTGGCAGTGCCATCACCCCCCCCTCCCCCATGTGGGTGTGAGGTGGTTCGTGGTCGTCGTCGTCCTCGTCGTCGTCGTCTTCCGTTGGCGTCGGCGTCTTCCGTCGGCGTGGGCGTTGGCGTCGGCGTCGGCGCTGGCGTCGGCGCTGGCGTCGGCCGTGGCGTCGGCGTCAGCGTCGGCGACAGCGTCGGCCTCGGCCTCGGCCTCGGCCTCCGCGTCGGCGTCGTCGGCGTCGGCGTCCTCGTCATCGTCGTCGTCGTCGTTGTGGTCGTCGTCGTCGATGTCGTCCTCGCTGTCGTCGTCGTCGTCGTCAACATCGTCATCGTCGACCCCTTCCCCATTCCGTCTGGGTGGTGGGCTGAACCCTCGATCTGGGATCCGAATTGCATCACTTTGTTTGGCGCATCCCGCTGCGAACGTATGAACTTGAGCCAGTTCTCGCTTGAGGGCGACTGATCGTAAGCGAGTCCAAGTGCAAATAATATGTTACGCTGCTCTCCGTTGCGGCGTCCGTGTGCTATGCCTTCTGTAGCACGGTGATCACGCGGCGTTGAAGAAGGCAGTTTATCTCCTAAGCCAGGCCAGCTGATTAAGATATCCCCACAATCTGAGAGCGCATGGGAACATAAAATACCGCCTGGCGACTGCATTACATTGAATGCAATCGGCATTGCATCCAAGTCTACGTGCATTGCACCTTGCGATGGGAGAAACGAGATACCCCGTGGCAGAAGCCCCTTGGGGTGCCCAATTTCTTTGCTTGCTACGTCTAAAATGATGATTGGTGTAGGTGAATCTGGGCATGAGTGGGTCAGGTAGGTGAATATGGTGGTCGGTGAGTCTGGGTGTGAGTGAGACTGAGTATGAGTGCGCCTAGGTGTGAGTGGATCGGTATATGAACGGTCTGCAGACTGAACGTGAATGAGTTGGGTATGAGTGTGGATGGGCCTGATTGTGAGAGGGTCTGGGTGTGAGTGACACTGGGCGAGCGCGAATCTGAGTGCGAATGGGTTGAGGAAGAGAGAGGTGGGATGGAGGCGAGAGTGAGGGTCAACTGAGCGTTTCGCGGATATCAAGAACTCAATACGTGTGAGATGAAGACAAAACTTTGGCCACGACCCGCTCTTCGTTACCGAACGTTTCAGGAACCCTGTACAACGAATGCGTGCGGCATTGCAACGGGGTGACACACTTTGACAACCAGCCGCCTGATATCCGTTTAGGTGTTGGCAGGTTCGATGAGGCGAACTGCCAGAACTGCATTACAGACACGCCTGGAGGTGGATGAGGAGATTCAGCTCGGAAGAAGGGAATTTGAAACAGCGAGTGCGGTCGGGAACTTTTGCATAGCGTGTCGCGGCGGCGACCCCGACGACACGCTAATTATGACATGCGAGCGGATAGCGTGTCACTCTGCTCCACGGGACGCAGCGAAGCGAAGTGAAGCGAACGTTGGAGTCGTGCGCGCTCTCTTGGGGAGCCCGCCCGTGAACATTACGGCATGTCGTCCAACCCATGGCCTCAAAAAAGTGAGATGTAGGCGGGGAGCTCGAAAAGACTCGGGACTTTGACGCTTGGGAGCCAGGACGTGGAAAGCGGGACGCGCTGGAGCATGGTCGGCCAGATCCGGCGGAGCGACACACCATTCAGAAATTCCTAGTCGTATGTACGGCCTCGGCGACGATCAGGAATTGCTCCTTCCAGTTGCAGAGACTCCCTGTGTCTCTAATAAAGAAGCGGGAAGAGGGCGAAGACGAGGGGTGGACGAAGAGGGCGACGAGGGGTGGATGGCGAGTGGTGGACGAGGGCGCAAACGAGGGGTGGACGAGGGCGAAGGGTGGACAAGGAGGGAGGAGGGGCCGCTTCTCCCGTGTCGTCCCCCCCTGATTCTCTCCCGCGCGCCGTTTTACAGTGGCATGACAAAGTGAATAGTACTCTTCTCTTTCCCCCGACAACCCCGAGGTCGTGGCATGCCCCCCTCCGCATATTTCCCCAATCAGTGCTTGCACTGAAGGGGTTCTACCAGAGATTCCCCAATCAGTGCTTGCACTGAAGGGGTTCTAGCGGATGTTGGAGGATTTGGCGGAAATTCTGAGCCCGACGACGCTCTGCCGTGCTCTTCTACGCCGTGGTACGCCGTGCACTACCATGCATCTCGTACCCTCTCGGGTACGCCGTGCACTACCATGAATCCCGGGCCGCCTTTTGTGACGGCCCCTGGGGGGCTGCTGAGGGCCCCTGGAGGCCGAAAATGGCCAAGAGCCTCGACCGCGAGGTGCCTTGTCGCGACGCAACAAGTGTCTGTCTGGGTCTCCCCCGTCCTTCGGATGTCCCGAGGCGGTGACAGACCTTGCGGCGACCTCGAAATCCCAAAAGACCTCACCGCACGACCTGTCGATGCACTGATTTGGGAATTCCATTGGAGCCTCCAGTCGCCCGAGACGTCCTCGGAGAACGACCACACCCAAAGCCGCACGATCACCCCGAATCCCCACTGACTCACCACACGGTGTGGTCACCGCGCTGCTTGGAGGCACCCGAACCCTGTCCGAACGCTCCTCCGCCGCCGCCGTCGCACCCCCACCCCAAGGGAGAGGCGCTGGAGCTTCTCGGCGCGGGCAGGGCGGCGGAAGAGGGCAAGGAGCACGAGGATGAAGAGAGGAGACGAAGCAGGGGCGCTGGGAGTACGGAGAAGATGTTGCCGACGACGAGGACGACGGCAACACGGGTGACGACGAGGACGAGGAGGAGGACGACGACGTCAAGAAACGACGACGACCAACACCACGACGAAAGCGAGGGGCCCTCATTAATGACCACGAAAGAATCGGGTCTAGAGGGAAACGGGTCCTTGTCCTGGACTCCGCGGGACCTTTTCCTCAGGAGCAGCTGTCCATCCCGGAGTCGTTCCTGGATCGCCCTGGGGCCCTGGGAGGGGCACGGGGCCCGACAACGGCAAACACCTCGAGAATCGTTTCCCTCAGACACCGTCTGCATCACGGTCCGGGCCATGCCAATATAGGGGGACACCGAGTCACCAGTAGGTGCCTCTACCTGCTCGAGGAAGAGACCCTAATTAAGCGCCCCACCAGACCGCCCGAGACTAGGGGGAGGATGAAATCGTATTAAGATTGGAATGGTACAAGATTTCCAGAGCATCTGGCGGCGCAGCCAGTGTGCAACATAGGATATCGTGAAAAATCATGGAAACCTTGGAGATCTTGGAACGCATCATGATGAATCACATGACCCTTTGCTCCTCTGAGAGACGCGCGAGGCCGTCCAGGATTCTCTTCGGTCATCGGCCCTCGAACCTCGATCCTCGGGAGGACCCGGCGACCTCTCCTCTGCGGTGGCGCCCCCAACCTCGGCACTGTCCGAACGGCGACGGATAGACATCAAACGAAAAGGTCTTGCAAGAAACGGGTTGTGGACACCCCGGGGCCTCCCCCCGAGGACCTGAGCCGCCCTCAGACGTTCCTGGGGCCCGTGGAGGGCCTGGAGAACCCGAGAACGGAAATTATCCGGGCGACCGACCCCACCATATGCATTGGTGAAGAGCGTGGAGCTCCCTATGTGGCCACGGACCGTGTGAGGGGTGCGCCAAAATGGGGCGGTGCCGCTATGTGGACCCTGCTACTGGGGCCTTCGGTGGAGCTCCCTAGGGGCCATGGCCCTTTTGAGTAGTGCGCCAAAATGAAGCGGCGCCGCCATGTGGAGGGGCACTCGGTGGAGCTCCGTACGTGGCCCCGAAGCGTTGCCCTGGGTGTGCCAAAACATGCCGAGGGCAGAGGCAGGTACGGGAGGAGGGAGGACGGGGAAGGAGGCAGCGGGAGGAGGAAGGAGAACTCGAAGCGCGGTCTTTCCGAAAACGAAGACTCAACACCACACGATGGTTGGGAGAAAAAGCCTGAGGACCCGTTTCCCGCAAGTTCCTCGCGGACGAAGAACATGCCCGGATCCGCGGCCTCGCTGGTCGGGCCCTGGCGCCGCGACCCCGCGGGTACGGGGCGTGTTCTGGCGGACGCCCCGCGCGGAACATACCATCCGTGCGACGGGGCGTATCCGCGGCATCCTTGCGCCCAGGGGAGCCCAGACCGCGAGAGCATGGATAACGTCCGACCAACACTATGTTGGCCCGGGGTGATCCACTCGCAGGCCTACACAGGGGGACTTTATCATCCCGTACGTCGACGAAATGTTGCACCACTTTTGCCGCGCATTGTCAGCTATAGTGCGTTGCTCCTCCCCCCCCCTCCCCCTGATCTTAATATTGGGCACACGGTAAAGGTCCCTTGGCGCCGCCCCCAGGGCTCGCGACAGGATGTTGCACCACCGAGCCGTTTCGATGAACCCGGGACCGCAGCCAATGTGAAGATTGGGGGGAGGGGGGAGGGGGGGAAGCGAACATCCATGGCAGAATCGGCTTGCTTCCTCGACAACACCAGGTGGTGCAACATTCTGTCGATGTACCGTCGGGGGCATGGGGGCATGGACACGTCCGCCGCTCGTGGGACCCGTCTGATTCAGAGCAGCGGCGGGCGGAGCGCCTCGGCCCAGCTGCCGTACACGCCCGGGCGCGGCCCGCCCGCCACGGCGTAGTGCACCGCCCCCGGCATGCGGCCGCGCCGCGCGCGCGCGTTGGCGGCGGCGTGCCTGGCCCGACCCCGACCTGGGCTACGATGGACGGAGCGCAGGCAAGGGGCGGAGGGCGGGAGCGCGGCCTGCAGCGGCTCCCTCCCGCGTCCTCCGCCTCCTCCTCGTCCGCCTCCGCCTCCTCCTCCTCCCGCTCCTCCTCCTCCTCCTCCTCCTCCTCCTCCTCCTCCTCCTCCTTCTCTTTCTCCTCCTCCTGCCAGTGCTTCCCTCCTCCTCCTCATACTCCCCCTCGTCTTCCTCCGCTGGGAGGCAGACTGGAGGCTGGAGTCTGAAATGAAGCCAAGGACAGGAGAATAATAGGATCGGAATGAATTAGGGATCTCTGCGATTCAGCGGCTCCAGAAAATGCTTCTCGCGCCGCAGCCGTGCCAGAGTGCTCCGGGATCCTCTGGAGCAATCCGCCCCGATCGCACAGCACTCCGCGAGATCGAACAGCGCAAGTTTCGAACCCCCCTCGCCCCCCGATGTCAATGTTCGGCGACTCGCGCAACGCGGCCCGCGGTGCCCCCCCGAAAAGTCGTCGCCGATTCCGACGCAGACGTGGACCTTCGGTGCCCGGGGGCGCCGCCACTCGCGGAAAAAACCACCCGCGTTTGACTCCGTGGAGCATTCCAGGCCTGACTGAGAGACTGCGCCCGTGGGGGAACAAAAAGTGACATGAACATAAAAACTCGGAGGTCCGCGCGGATTTCTCGGATCGGCGCTGGACCCCCCTCCCTGGCGCGCGGAGCGCGCCAGGGGCGGCGCCGGAGGCCCCGCCGGGGAGCCCCAGCGCCGATCCGAGAAATCCGCGCGGACCTCCGAGTTCTTATGTTTCTTTCACTTTTTGGTTCCCCTAGCCCGGGTCGTCCCCCGGGGCGACCCTACGGGGCCGGGGGCCCTGTGGCGCCGGATTCGCGCGTGTCCCGGTCCGACCGACAGACGGCGAGGCGACCGCGGGGCACGGACTGGGTTGGCCAGGACTTGCTCTCCGCTTCTCGACTGGTGCCGGCGCCCTGGCGGCCACCGCGGGAGGGGGAGGGGAGTAGGGCACCTTTGGGAGCCTTAGCCGCCCCGATACGCAACACGCAACCCGTCGCGTGTTGGCACGGAGCTCGACACATAGACAGAAGCGTCGGTCTGGCGCGGCATGTTCGCCAAAGCGTGGTTACCCAGCCTCGAACGTATCCCTATCCCTAGGATTGACACGCCAAAAGGCGATGACAATCCTAGGGATTCGCCCTCAAAAAACAAGGGGATCCCTAAGATTGGCATCGTGATGAGGAGGTGCCCAGCATAGGGATAGGGATATGTTCCAGGCTGGTAACGTGGGCCCACATGTGCCGAGCCAAAAGGCAGCGCGTTAGCATGGACGTTTTGAGCACGGTGCGCGTTGCGTTTCAGAGCGAGCGTGTCAGGGCAACTGAATTTAGGACACATGGTCCCCCCTCGTCCTCCTCCCGGACCGTCCTCTCCATCCTCCCGCTCCTCATCTGCCGCAGCCTCGTAGATTCCGCGTGCCAGTACCTCGCTCCACATCTACTGTTTTTGCTTCGCGGGTCGAGAGCGCACCTCTTCCGGTCGAAGCTAAGCGGGCCGCGCACAGCTTGAATTGACAAAAGGGGGGGGCGGAAGGAGGGGCCCTCTCCGCATCTACAGTCCACCCGTATGATAAGGACGCACGATGAGGAAGCATGGGCCTTGGAAGGCCATGTCGACACTGTGCGAGCGCGGCACGGCCAGCGACAGCGGCCAAGTAGTATGGGCCGAAGGGGAAGGATGCAAGGGCAAGCTTGGAAAACTGCTCATCCTTGCTCTGCGGGTTCACTGCAGTCCTGCTTCATCCTCCCTCCTCGAGAGCAACCCCTCCCTGTCGCACCCGCAGACGTGTCGGAAGGGCGGGGCCAGGCGTTTCGCCCAAAGGCTTCCCCACCACTCGTGACCCTGAAGCTCGAAGACATCCAGCAGCTTCAAGGCTGGAGGGCGGGCCGCTTGCAAAATGCAGCCTCCACCGCAGCGCGCCTCACACATTGGTGAACTGGACGAGCATACGCTTTTGCACACTCCTTGTCCTTCGCTGGAGAGATGCAAGGCAGATGGCTCCGCAGTTAGAGACGTTACGGGAGGGGGCTCTCGCCTAAATGGCGGGACCATCGGGCGCTGGTCTTTCAGGGAGGCGTTTCTTGAAGTGGACGGGATGGCTTGCAGGGGCAAGTGGGGAGGGGACTCGGGATGAGAGGGTCCCTTGCAGCATCGCCCACGCGTGTTGATGACCTATGGCCCTCCTCCTTCCCCTCCTCGTCCTTCCAGACATCCGGCGCCAGGAGAATATCGGAGCGGAGCGGCCGGTGTGTCACCCTTCCTGGCCTCGGGAGATGAGTTGCGGGCCTCGGAACAATCAGAAGCGCACTCGGAATGGGCAGCGGGTGGAGAGGAGGAGGAGGAGGAGGAGGAGGAGGAGGATGAGGAGGAGGAGGAGGAGGAGGAGGAGGACGAGGAGGAGGAGGACGAGGAGGGGGTAGGAGGAGGAGGAGGAGGAGGAGGAGGAGGAGGAGGAGGCGCTCCGGAACGCTCTGGAGCGATTTATCCCGATCCTAGCCCTGTTTTGGAGGAAGAGGGCGAGGAAAGGGGGCAGAGGGCGAAGGCCGGGGCCAGAAGAGGCGCAGAAGGCGGGGGATCCAGGACGGGCGCATCTGCATCGGTTCGTGTGGTCTTGCCTGCGCACCTTCTCAGGAGGCAGGAGGGGGATGGGCGAGGAGGCGGAGGCGCAGGCGGAGGAGGCCCATGAGGAGAATGAGGAGGCAAAGGATGAGGAGGGGATTGAGGAGGTAGAGGGAGAAAGGGGAGTTCGAGGAGGAGGACGGAGGAGGAGAATGCAAGGGATAATGATGGGAAGGAAAACGGGAAGGAGGAGAATGGAAGGCTGGAAATGAATGAAAGGAAGGCACAAGCCGATGAGGAGGAAAGGGGACCAGAGAAAACCAAAGCTGTGCAAACGATGCTGCGAAATCCCGCCCATCCCAAAACCCCTCCACGTCAATCCCTGTGAAGGTTGTGTTCGATTGCGCGAAGCGCCACCCTCTGACAGAAAAAGGCGCCCCATTTGGGCCCGCAATTCAGTCCACGCGGGGGCTCATTGATGACGGAATCTGCCTGCGCGACAAGGTGAGATCATGAAGTTCAACGTTTAGGAGGCAACTCGTAGGAGGCCGTCTAGATCGCCTAACTGCGCGCACCCGTTCGCCGCGATGGCGAACGAGACGCGAGCCCGCGCGCTCGGGGCGTACAGGGAGTTGTCATGCTACACCCTGCGAAATGCTTTTGAAATCATGGGTTAAGAAATTCATAGTCTCAGAATTTGAATAAAACCCAGAATGTCTATTCGAATCTTAGGATTTACATTGAAACATTAAGAATAATCGAGACTCTTGCCGAAGACTTTGGTTTTCTTAAGCATCGCCTAGAGTGTATGCATGGGCCTCCAAGCAGCGCCGCTGGCAGCGCGCAGTGCGAAGCACTCGGGACGGCCAGGGGATGGACACGGAAGGAACCCCCAGGGCACCCACGGTGGAGGCGTTGGATAAGGAACCACTGGATAAGGAATCCAGGGTCTTGGAAGCCAGTGGAACTCCGGTCGTGGATCGGCCATGGACATCACCGCCGCCCTCATCAGAAAAAGGAATCATCCAGGGTCCGGCGCCTCCTGGGGCTATTCCTTCACCAGCGCCCCCACCGTTTCGCGGATGCCTGCGGAGCAGGCAGAGGGCCCTCTGGCCGAGCCCGGTCGAGGAAGAGCGCGGGCCGGGCGCTCTGTGCACGTCAGGAGCGAGCCCGCACGTCCCGGAGTGCGCTTCCGTGCTACGGCTCTGTCAGCAATTGCCGGTCGCGGGACGGCCACGGAGGGCGAGCCGTCGCTCTCGGAGCGAACGCCGTGGCAAGAGCATTGACAACAAACCTTGCAACGCGAGGTGCACTCGAAGCGAACCGCCACGATCGGAGTACTCCAGATTTCGTAATAAAGGTAGGGGGGTCTCATTTCGGGGGGTCTTTTCCAAGCTATCCTGGAGGGCCTGGGGGGGTCCGGGGACGATGTTTTGGAGGGTTCTCCCACGGGGGGGGGTCTGAAATGGCTTGTCTTGGAGGGTCCAGACACCCACCCTTTTATTACGAAATCTGGAGTAAGCTTCCCGCTGGCAACGCCGGCAACGCGATGAGCGCAGGGAGCGGCGTGATAGCACGCTCGGGGTAATTCAGCTGCATGGCAGCAACGCCGGCAGCGGGGAGTGCACTGGAAGCGATCATCCATGTTCGAAGTGACCTTCCGCCGCCTTCGCTTTCAGCCCTGCTGCTACCAGGAGACAGCCGCACACTCGGAGTGATGTACACTTGGAGTGCTTCCCGGCAACGCATTTCCAGCATTGCTGGCGGCAACGCGACGTTCACCAGAAGCGAGCCCGGACTCTCGGAGTGAGCTTCCCGACAAAGCGGACAAAGCGATGAGTGCAGGGAGCGAGCTAGCACGCTCGGAGTGAGCTTCCTGGTAACAGCGCTGGCAGCGCGAAGTGCACTGAAAGCGAGCCAGTACGCACGCGAAGGACACACCAGCCCAGGGCACCTTTCGGAAAATGTCGTGGGGGAGACCAGCTTCCGTGAGGGGGATGTGCGGCAGACGCTGAGAACCCTCCCGGAATGCCTAGGTATGGAATGACAGGCTGACGGATCCAGTGGCAGCCTCTCGTGGTTTCCCGCCTGCCTCCACCCGAAGGGCAGCCTTTCCTCCTCGCCCTTCTTGCGCACCACCGACAGCGCAACCTTGCGGCTGATCTTCTCCAAGAACTTGCGCAACTGGCAGGAGTGCCGAAAAGTGCAAGGTGGTAAACGGAGAGCGCGATCCCAAGAGGGAAGGGGAAGTAGCTGTGAGCGGCGCTGAGGGCACGACGCCACCAATAAATCCAAAGAACCTGTGGAGAAATGTCGCCGGTAT